CTGTGCTGCTTCCTCGCGCCCTCCCCTCCCCCAGCCTCCAAGCCCCAGAGGGTGGGGGGCACAGGCGTCGTGAGAGTCCTTGAGTTGGGGACCGTGGCCAGGCCTCCTTCCTCAAACGGGCAGTCGAGATGCCCAGAGCAGCGAGGATAACACACATTAACAGTTTAATAAAGCGCCACCCTCCCACCCGCTCTCCCCACGCAGGGAGAAACGCCATCCTCCGGGCTGTGGTCTGTGGGGAGCCCAGGCCTGAGGTGCGCTGGCAGAGCAGCAAGGGGGACCTCAGTAACTCCAGCAAGTACCAGATCTTCTCCGCCCCTGGCAGCAAGGAGCACGCACTGCAGGTAAGTCAGCTCAGCTCCGCTCTGCGGCTGCAGGTGGCCTGAGCCAGGTGTGCACCTGGCAGGCTCGCAGGTACCTCTGCCCGACACCTGGGGGTGCTGCAGACGGGAGCATAAAAACTCAAGCTGTGGAGCCAGGCTGCGGGGTGACAAGCCCTGGCCCAGCGTCTTGGACTGAAAAGTTACTTTCTTCTCTGCACCTCTAATTGGGGCAATAATAGTACCTCGTTTATGGGCCTTTGTGAGTGTCGAAGGTTTTTGTAAAGTGGGTAGCCAGTGCCTTGGCCTCCAGTGAACACTCAGTCAGTGCTGGTCAATGTGAGTAATATCTGTAGCTGTCAATCATGGAATACCTGCTGTGTGCTGGCCCCCAGACTAACCATTTGGCATAAATTATGTCATCTAATCCTGACCATTCGCTGCTTTTTGAGGTATTGTTATCTTCACCTTATAAGGGAGTGTCAACAATAAAAAATAAAAAAATAAAAAGGCTCAGAGAGGTTAGGTAAATTGCCCAAGGTCACACAGCCCAAAACCCAGACCCTGAAAAACCAGCTCCTTCTGCCTCTGATGGCAGGAGTCGGTTTATCCGTGCTCCGTTGTGGGCTGGGTTTGCCTTGGTCTCTGCCTTTCCCCGTGAAGACGGGACAAGTCTTTGTCCCCCTGGCCCATAGCCTTGTCTAGTGACAGAGGAGGGGAAAGTGCTAGTCCCGCTCCCCTGCCCTTGGCCTCTCTGCAGATCAACAAGCTGACAGGCGAGGACACGGACCAGTACCGCTGCTGGGCAGTGAACCTGTACGGAGAGGCCGTGTGCTCGGCGAGGCTCACCGTCATCGAAGGTGGGCTGGTCCCCTGTCCCCGCCGTGCTCGGGCCGCTGGAGGTGCCTTGCCTCGCCTGGTGGGGGGAGGGGAGGGGCGACCGAGGAGGAGCTGGTGATGAAGATGAAGAGCCGGATCGTCAATGGCTGCAGGACCAGCCAAACAGCTGGTTGGCACAATGGGGCCTAAACTTCAAATGACAGCTCTCGGGTGAAGGAAAGAGCAGCTGCCCCTCAGATGTGGCTCAGCTGTCGTCCCAGTGTCACTTCCCTCATGTAAGCCACCACCCTGGTCCCTGTAGACAGGGAGGGCCAGCCCTGTGTGAGGTGCGAAGCAGGCATGTCCCATCTCAGCCACGCTAAGGCTCTGGGGCATCAACAAAGATGAAGGGCAGACCCTCCGACCTGCCCACCCCTGCTGCTGGGCTGTCCCCAGGCCTTAGGGGACAGGGGGAGGCCGGGGCCCTGGGGCTCAGTCGTCCTCAGGAAGACTGTCAGTGTGCCTGGCTCCTCTCCCGGCCGGTCCACATTGACTCCCCCTCTCCTCCCCGGTGGTCCAGTCGGCTTTAGGAAGAAACGGAAAAGGAACACGGAGCCCCAGGAGGGTAGGTGGAAGGGTGTCAGAGGCCTCCTTGGGGCCTTCGGGGGATGGGCTACTCCTTGCTTGGCGCCCCCCACTTGGCCAGGCCCCCACAGAGGCCTCCTGGGTCCTCACCGGTCCACAGGAGGGCTCCTTCTGAAAGCCCTCCTTCCACGCCCTCCCCACCCGCCCACTCCCTACAGGAGAGCCCTGCCTTGGCCCCTCCGATGCCCACGCCTGGGCCAGGGCCTCATTTCCATTCCTTTTCCAGACCTCAGTAAGGAGCTGATGGACTTACGGAAGATGCTGAAGAAGAGGTGGGTGTGGGCCTGTCTGTGGGGGTCCCCGTACCCCAAAGCCCCATAAGCATGCGGGGCTCAGCCCTCGCCTCCGCTCTGAACACAGGCGGGCAGGCTGGGCTGCAGGTGTGGGGAGGAAGGATGCCCCGGAGGTGCAGCTGTGCCACTTCTGAGCTCATCGTGGCTCCTCCCTAGGGCCTGATTTTCTCCTTGGTGAAACTGGGGGGGCCTCGCTAGAGCGTTTTAACACATTTTTTAGAGCCACAGACATCTTGCTTGGAAATCCACAACTCGAGGTGTTAGGTGCGGGCTTCTCCTGGGAAGCTGGAGCCATAGTCAGTCCCAGAGCCCGGTCTGTGCTCCCCCTTGCCTCCAGCGCAGGGAGGGCAGCTCCCCAGGCCCCTCGGGGGGCCTGGCCTCTGACCCGCTGTCCCTGCGCCCCCAGGGCCCCGCCCCCCAAGAAAAAGATGGACCCGGAGCAGGTGTGGCAGCTGCTGATGACGGCCGACCGGAAGGACTACGAGAGGCTGTGCATGAAGTACGGCATCGCCGACTTCCGCGGGATGCTGCGCAAGCTGGAGAGGATGCGGCGGGAGCGGGAGGACAGGATGGCCCAGGTACCCCGCCTGCGCCTGCCTGCGGGCGCCGCCCGGGCCTCCAGAAGCCAAGCCGGTGGGGGGGCCCTCCCCCGGTTCCCTCGGTGTGGTGTCTGGCCAGGGACCAGGTTTCCAAGCCCACGTCTTAGCTGTGAAACCTGCCTCTGATTCTAACTCTGGGCTCTGGAAAAGTTAGGGCCGCTGAGCCTTGGCTCCCTTATTTGTAACGTGGGTGTTAACTAGTCTCACCTGCCTCACAGGGCCATTGAGCGGGGAGGAGAGGGTGTGCTGAAGGCTCTTAGCTGGGTGCCTGACACCCAGTGAGGGCTTCCTGCCAGCCACCGTCATCATCGCAGACCTTGGGGACCTGCCTTATTTGCAAAGGCTTCCAGCGAAGGGAATGTTACGGTTCCCACCGGCGCTCTCATTCCAGCATCTTGTAAACTGTGCAGGAAGTTCTCCCCCTGTGTCAAACCTAACTAGAGTCTAAATCTATTTTTTCTCCTGGAAACACAAAACACCTAGTCTTCCATCATCCCGAAAATGGTGTTTTATCAGGCCCCCCACCCAGGTGTGCGCTCTCTCTCCTCCAAACTTTCTCACCTGCTTCAACACAGAGCCCAGCACAGGGCTTTGCACACGGTAGGCGCTCGACTCGCTTTTACCGGATGAAACGACCGATGAACACGAAGCCCTGCTGTGTTCTCGGAGGCCCTGGACACCCGGGTTCTTTCTTGCTCTCACGTCTCATCTTGGAAAATCTCCTTCTTCGAGGGGTTTAAGCCTCCCACGTGGTTCCATGCATGTCTGACTGGGATTTGGGGCTCTGGGGTCCGGGGGTTGTAGTGCCCCGAAGAGAGCTCTCCTGGTGGGTTTGTCTTCCTTAGTACATCCACAGCGTCTCCAACACGAAACACATCAAGGTCACCAAGGAGGGCGTCGCATTCTTTGAACTGGATCTGGACCTCAAGGATCCTGAGAGCAATGTCTACCTGTACAAGGTGAGGCTAGAGGGGCCACTGAAAGGAGAGGGCTCTGGCAGGGATGCTGCAGGTCGCGGGGGCAGGGATCCTTATGTTCTATTCCCTGATGGGCCCGTTCCAAGTACCTAAGGCAGTGCCCGGCACACCGTGGGCACCTAAATGTTTGGCAGGTAATTTATCGGCAGGTAGTTTGACCCTGTGGTCAGAGTCATGCACATTCCTGGAGGGTTTGCTTCCCTTCCGGCCTGCTCTCCACCCCACCCACTCCTCTCTCCCGCCCCAACCCCTTTAAGCCCCAGGAATATGTCCCCCATGCCCGGGCCGGTGGGAGACAAGCACTGGCTGCTGCCAGCATGGGATTGGGGCAGCAGGTTCGGGGGACCCACCGAGGCCCTGAGCCCCCCCTGTCTCTCCCGGCCTCAGGATGGTGAGATGGTCCCCTACAGCTCCGACAGCCAAGCCAAGCGCAGTGTGCGGCGGCTGGGGAAACACTATCACTTCCAGATCCAGGACCTGTGGCCCGAGGACGCCGGCATCTACCAGGTCAGGGTAGAGGAAGCCGAGGTCTTCTCCACAGAGCTGGAGGCCAGCGGTGAGCGGGCCCCCCGCATGGGGCGGGTCTGCTGGGGGCCCAGGCAGGGTGGGAAGGTGGACGTGTCGATGACAGTGGGGAGGAGAGCACAGGTCCAGGGGGTTAAATGGTGGCACCTTTTCCAAAGTCTCGGCCAAGGTCAAGGTCAGAGCCTCAGCGGACACACCTGTCCCTGCTGCAGACCTCCTGTGGCCACAGACCCTCCTCAGCTCAAACTAAGTGCCAGCCTCTGGCGCTCACCCCTTCCTTGTGCCCGACCTCTTCTCCCATGGCTCCTTAGCAAGACCCCCTGTGCCCCAGATACACGGTCAGATTTGGAATTCCAGAATTCCAGGGCTGAGAATCGTCTTCCTGTTCGTATCCTAAAGATAACCCCTCCCACGGACACAGGGGTGAGAGGCGCCCCGTCCAAGGTCACACGGGGGGGGGGTTGTGGCTGAACTGGTATGAGCCTGGGTTTCCGACTGCCAGCTCCACCACGTCGGGTCACAGTTGTCACCCTGCCGAGCTCACCATGGCCCCGTTGCTACTTCCCCCACAGCCATCCCGCCCAGAGTGGTGGTGCCGCTGTGCGAGGCCCGCTGCGAAGAGCAGGCTGACGCGGCCTTCGAGTGCGTGCTCTCCAACCCCTGCCCCAACGCCACCTGGCATTTCAAGCACCGGCCTCTCCAGCCCAGCGACAAATACGAAGTGTCCATGTCCCCCGATGGGCTGACCCACCAGCTGGTGGTGAAGGGCGCCCGGCTCTCAGACATGGGGCCCTACTCCCTGGACACCGGGCTCCACATCTCCAGCGCCTGGCTGGTGGTGGAAAGTGAGTGGCCCACCCCTGTCTCCCTGCCTCCACCACAGCCAGGCATCAGTCGCTAGCTCTGGGTGGTGCACCCACCCCTTAGGTCTGTCCTGACCCACTGCAGGGCCTCTCTTCCCAGCCAGCCTGTCTCCCTCAGCTGCCTCCGCTCCACCGGGCCTGTGGGATGGCCCAGGGGACACAGATCCAAGGTGGCCCTGGGGCCCTTCTCAAGGCTTGGGACAGTGCCCAGGTTCCATGGGTGGGAAGCCCCTGTGAGCCCCCAGGCTTTGGGGTTCCAGGTGATCCCAGAAGCCCATAAATTGGACATTTTAAGGCAGCCGCTGTCCCTGGCCTCCTGGCAGTTTGCTAAACCAGTGACTTTGGTTCCTGCATTTTCCCCCAGAGTCCTCGGGAACCACTCAGCAGGGTGGGGTGGGGTGGGTGCTGGACTGGGGAAGTGGGGATGGCACTTCCCCATCTCTTAGCGCCCCCCCCCCGCCCGGCTTCCTTCCCTG